CAAACTGTTGGCGAGCCTTCATTGGGGAAAAAATAGAAGAGATTAAATGGTGAAACAACCAAATTGTTCAACTGAAAATGAAAATAAACCCTTAGTTTGATATATTGACCATAAATCTTCTTGTGGCTCTTCTAACTTATGATAATAGGGATTTCAAACCTTTGACTGCGATGGTATTGGTTGTGTAATGTAGATGAGGTGGTTTTGGCAGCAACACTTAGAATTGGGAAGAGTGTACGGCGATCGCGGTCATACTACGTGTAGAAAACGTTGAAGTGATCTAATTTCATAACATGTAAGTGTTATGAGATCAATTATGATGGGTGTCAGTGGTTAGAGGAGTTATGACGGTGGTCGGTTATACGATGTCGCAAATGTATAGTGGTAACATGTAAGTGATATGAGGTTGTGAAGGATAATTAATGTGAAAGAAGGAGTGAAAAACAAAGATGGTATCGTGGTTAGGGCTTGTAGAGAGATGGGAAGAAGATAATGAAGGGAGATATTGAAGCAGGGTATTTCCAAATTTTATAATTTTAGAGGATTTCATTTCCCCTTTAGCAACGCACATTTTAAGTAAAAAATTATAAAACGACATTCATAGAGGACATACATTTAAAATAACCGCCCTCCATGTTTGTAATTTTTTTTCATGTGGCAATAGTTTTAGGGCATGCACAAATGCATGTCCTCTATCCTTCAAAATTTGGAAGGTTGACATTATTTTTAGGATACAAAAAAATGTGTATCGTAAATCAGAGCATGTCATTGTTTGCGTGTCATTAAAGGGTATTTTTCTTGTAGTGAAGGCACCAAGGCCGACCCATTGGTTTGATATCCTTTTATTCGTTGATATGTTGAGTATGGAATACATATGCATGATTATGCTAGTTGTCGATATACTATGTGGTAGATCTGCATGATTATCTGTATATATTTGTTATCTAGTATATGTCGACATATTATGTTAGGTTAAGGTTGTAATGCTCCGTGTCGTACCTAACAAACCCTGGAGCATTTCCGATATGAGTTGAGGGCCAGGTAGGGCATACCAGACTCAGACTGAGCGCTTAGGTGCATTGCAGACACAAGCTGAGGACCGTGTGGTATGCCAGAGTCATATTGAGGGCTTGAAGGTATTTCAGTCTGTTGACTGATTGGGCCGGGGAGGAAGCCAGTCATGAGCTGTGGGCCCCGAGGGCAAGACAAACTTATGATGTTAGCTTAGGAGCAATCCATATATGAGTTGTGGGCCGATAGGCAACCCAGACTCATAATCTAAGCTCAAGGTGAAATACAATCTTTTAGTTGTGGACCCAGTACATGCTATTATTTGAATATGTTATATTTTCATGTTTTGGTACTTTGGGGGAACTCACTTAGCTTCATGGTTATAGTTTTTGTTTATGGTTTCAAGTTCTTTAGAGGACTATGGCAAGGCGATGGCGTGACTGTAGATATCCTTGGTTTCACTACTGATTGGATCTTGGGTGATTGTGTTTTCAAATCATGTTTTGGAAAAATTGGTTTTGTAAACACTTTTGTTAGTAAAGGGGTTGCTTTGAAGAGTTTAAAATGGCTGTGATTTTTATGCATGTTACAGACGTTAAAAGGTTCTTCATTATATTGGGATATTAGAATTTTACAATGCATGTCTCTTCTCTCATGATTACGTAAAAATGAAGAAACTTATTGGGTATAAACTCGGAATTCACCACTCTAGGTCAATTTCAGAAGCGATTCAAAAAGCAATTAGTTTTCTCTCTAAAAAAAGGCTCCAAATTCATCATCAAAGGTCCTCATGCTTCTGATGCTACTATCATCATCCAATCAACAAATGTGGCGTTCTCAAATAAAATTTCAAAGTAGCTTTTGAATTTTAGAGTCGATGACTTTGTCGAATATGTCAAAAGTAGTCCAGTTTGGTATGCATTCTACGACTTTTCGGACCCTTTCTACCTTAAACATGTATGTGAGTTCTACTACAAATGTTTTGTTGATATCATCCCTCAAGCCATCTCTGGAACCATTGGAGATGGTCATATATAGGGTTAATATTGATTGTAAACCCATTCGAATTGCTCTTCGTCTTCCGTGATATGATAGTTACTCTAAAACTCTTGATGAAAGCTGCAAGATTGTTCGTGAAAAACTAGGGTATAACTTCAAACTCAAGGGCCTTACTCATGATCCCTACAAGAGCATCCTTGATTAGTTTTGTAATGTAGGATGGAAATACTTAATAGGTGTGATTGGAAAATGTATTGGTCACAAGACTGGAAGCTCGGATCAACTAAATCTATTTGAGCTAAGGATCTTATACTACATTTTTTACAACAAGAAACTGCATTTTTCTCAAATCTTTTTTTGATCAAATGATTGAATGTATTTCTGGGATCAAAATACCTGTGTATGTTACCTAACCACACTAGCTTGTGTTGATCTTGTCTCGTGAATAAGGCTATGTTGAAAGTCATGGGGATCATCATTCCTATTCCGACTCATTTTTCGAAAATCATTAATAATGCCCCATCTAAGGTATCTTCCTATAACTGTAATGATGCGAAAGTGGATTGAAAATCCCTATGTGGTTGAATCCTTAGACTCTGAAGAGGATAAAGATAACGATGATGCTAGTGATGAAGAAGGAAATGATAATGGGAATAATGATGATTAAAAAGATGGTAATAAAATAGGGGTTGATAAGGAAGAAGACACTGATAAAGATGAAAATAAATTAGAAGTTTCCGTGAGAGATGACTTCACTAGGAAAATGAACTCTCCTCTAAGATTTAACAAGCATATATGTTTTTCAACCTCTTCATCCTCTTCCTCTATTGATGACACTGAATGTTGTGTATCAACCCCTCCTGTTGGAGATACTACTATGCCAATATTCCTGGATGAACCTTCTCCAACATCGTCTCCTTCTCCTAAAGATGATACAATTCATCAAGATGAAATAGTTCCACCTCCCATAATATCTTCCTCCACCACCTCCTCCATCTTCTCATCCTCCTCCAAGAACTCTTTCTTCTCCTCCTAAATCTCCTCCCCAAAATAATGTTACCAAAAAGAGGGAGAATTATCAAGAGGGTCCTCAGCCAATCCAAATGCAGGTGGTGATTGCATCTCATCCCGATAATAATGAAAGGAGTGAAACTAAAGCAGATCCTCTAGAACCGATTGTTATTGTTGATGCTACTACTGATCAACCCATTCTAGACATCGGTGACCAATCAAAAACAGATGAGTGTGAAGGGTTTCTAGATCTTGGTTTCATTCAACAAGCTGTTGTTTCTACTATTCCATTAAATGTGGTTTATCCTAGATTTGAGGGGGAGATCTCTCAAGAGGTTCCTCAAGGTAAAAATTGTGATATTGATTCTGATGATGGTGTCCTACTCAATCCACGAAAAATAAAGGCTTCCTTCTCAGGGGGGAGCTTTTAACTTTGAGCTGGAAGTTTCTCGGCCGCTGATGATACTTGAGCACCTCCTCAAAAGAAAAGCAAACTCATTTTTGATCTGAATGAGTTTGCAAAAACATGGATCTTACCAATCGAGGAACTTATAATGATCACGCTGGAATAAAATGTTGCCATTTGTCAGTAGAAAGAAGCCATAAAAAAAAAAAGTTTGTCTGCCAAACTTGTTCAAGAACTTGTTTTCGCTGATAAAAATACAGCAGTTCAAAGAACTATTGATCGAGTTATGAAGATTTTCAATAACAATGTAGAAAAGTAACATATTGTTTCAGATCTATGTGAACAGGTTAATAGGAAGAAGTTTGGAGGCATTCTAAATCAAAGAACAAAGCATGATCCTATCATCAGAGTAAGATGCACCAAGCCAAAGAATGAGTAACTAAAGCTTCACTTGGCATGAAAGAAAATTGAGTATCAATACACTGAAGTTGTGTTTGCTCATGATCTAGTTAAATTTGGCTACAACAGGTGGATGTAGATTCCTGAAATCATTAACAAGGATAAAAGTGTTCATGCCCAAGAAGTGAAGTTGGAAATCCAGCAACTTCTCAACAAAGTGAAGAAACTCCGCCTGGAACCATCCGCTGCTCCATCAACAAGTACATCTAGGTCAGCATCATCATGAAGAACAGGCGCACCTCAACAGTCCAAGATTACCAAGTTTCTTCTTCCTTATTGTATCAGATACATCAATAATGAATTACTAGCTAGTGGTAAATCTTTTCACTACATGTTTATTCCAGAACCAGAGCACGAGATCTTCTATCTAGACACTTAAAATCTAATGTGCTTTTAACTCACTAATGACTTTCGTTCTGCTCCTACTGAACACTTGTTTCATGTTTGTGTGGAAGGATAAGGTCACTATGAACTATAAAGAGGATATCGTGTGTTGACATCACTAGATCTGAGTATAAGATTGGAAGAGGTAAAACTTGATCAATTCAGATGGATAACGCTTGAAGTCTTGAAAGAAGTTGACAAGTTCTACAATGGCTCTTCTGATGAATCTAAAGAAGAAGTTTAGTTTTGATATCATCAAACAGTGGAGATTATAAGGTTATACTTTATGATCTGATGAGTGCAACTCATGATATGCTGATCTATCGGTGGCAGCATATACAAGTCATCAACACCAACATTTCAAATTTAATAGCGTCAGCTTTAGTATAGTTTTCCGATTGTTAACTTTTATATTAGGCAGTTATTATAGATAAATATATAATATATATCAGATCTGTAATCTTGGTGATAAGGATCTTATCATTAATTAGTATAAATTAGACGCAATCCTTTAAATCAAGGAGTATACATGTATAGATTAGTGTGTGTGTGTGTGTGTGTATATATATATATATATATATATATATATATATATATATATATATATATACAACATCAGGGAAAACCATAATGTAGTAGTAATACATTAGTGATTGTGGCTTTGTGTGTCAATCGTCTTTGTGACAAACTCGTTTTCTTGGTGAAGACAAAACCTCTTTTCTTGGTGAAATGAACAATTTGAGAACTTTTGTGTTATTTTTCTGTTGATGATTTTGCTTAGATTAGTTTTTCTTTTTTTGTTCATACTTGAAGTGTATCTGACCAAATACAAACCTTTAGAAATACAATAGTTGGACTATAGTTGGCAACACTATAGAAAGACTATAGTTGGACTACAACTTCCATTTGTGTATGTGATATCTTGGCAAACACACTAATATTTGTGCTTACTCATTGAATTTAAACTTTTTCAGGTTGTCCAGGTAGCAAGGGGAAGACGAGATCTAATTGTATCGTATTCATTTGTTTCGTTGTTAGAGACTTTGTTTGATAGGATTTCACAATTTTATTATTACTCTGATTTCGTAAACTATGTGACATTTTTTTTAAAAAATGGTTCTTTTATAACGCTTTGGTACATAGATTTAGGTTGATTATTCTTAATTTATAAATGAAAATTTTGTTTGAAAAATTAGGACATTACATAAATTATATACAATGGTAACAAGCATTTTATACGTGCTAAGTTGCTGATAATAAAATAATTTTACTCTACAATAATAATAAATTGTATATTGGTTTATTTATAATACAAATAGGCTATTAAAAACTCTCATTAGAAATGGTCTCGTTCTATGTTTAAAGAAAAACTTTGTTTAGAAACGTCTTGACACCGTGACATTAATAATAGAGTCATTTAGGTTCTAAGTAGGAATATTTTAATATGTATACACACATGTCAAATATCCTTTCACTTTTGGAATATGATTGAGATATACTTTTCCTGGATTAGAAAAAGCAATATATAGACAAATAATACAAGAAGAACATGGAAAACATCTCTGAAACGTTCTTCGATCTTAGTTTGAAGTAAATATGGAGTGATGGACCAAAAATTCAGATAACAAGTAAGAGTTTTGGAGTAATAAAGACATACCTAACAACTTATATGTAACATAATTGAAAAAGCAGAAAATTAAAGTAAATAAAAATTATAATCATAAATTTGTGACAAAGATGATATCACTAAATGAATCTAAGAATGTGTTAATGGGAAACACCCTTCACTAGGATACTTTTAAAATTATTTATAAAATTGTTTGATTTTATACAAAAAGAAATTTAATTTTAATTTAAGCAGAAATGTTGGTTCCGAAATATTCAATTTTTTTTTTTTTTTTTTTTTTGTGGAATTAGGTCTTGAAATACCAAAATATAATTATCAACCTCTTTTGTGTGTAGATGTCATATGAATTGGCGTGAAATGTGTATTTGCTGGCTAATGCTCAAAATAAGATGTTTGGCGTTGTTTCTGGGGTCTTAGCGTAATTCCTAAGAACTGCATTAATTAAGACCTTTGGGGATTGTTTTCAAAGGTTAGAAACTCCCCAAAGTGGGTTTGGATTGGTTACGGAATTATCAAAATCGAAAAATCTAGAAATTACATTTGTAACATTCATATGTGGTATATATGCTTTTCCAATATGATCTGTCAATGAGATTTTGGGTTTGACCAAAGTCGCGATTAGTTGATCGGACATGGTGGGTCCTTTACACACATATGACACTTAACCTGCAATGGCGTATTCCATTTCATGTTTTGTGCTCGTTTTCTTATCGGGATGTTATGTAATTGTTTACGACATTTAATGGGGTTATAGAAGCATTGTGTTTCCCCTATTAATTGCCTATTACTCTTGGACTTGAGGTAAGTAAATGCTTTTTCTGAATCTAGTAGATAGTAGGGAACTACAACTCTTGACAACAAATCGATTAATCTAAGTTAGACTATATTGTGTTCTGAGTCTTATTGTGGATTATATGTACCAGAAATGTTGATATCTTGTTGTGGTTATGATGATATGATGTAATAAAGGCCAGATATATTTGTGATGATATGTTTGAAATTTCTTTATGCCTAAGAAGCAAAACTCTACTCCGAAGAATCCTTGAACTCCAAAAACACACAGATCCAAGAAACATTAATATGTGTCTCGCCACGCCATAGAAATCCAATGTCCATGTCATGGGAACTGGTTTTTTGCGATTCAAGGGTTTCGACAGGTTTTTGGATTTTGGTGATTTAATGGTCTTTTTCTCTTATACCAAAACTGAATTTGTAGCTCCATTTATATAGGGTTATGATTTGAAACTGTAAAGATAATTAGTAAATATAATAATAATTATCTATAGATTTCAAACCATTATTAAATATTCCATATTCCATTATTTTCTAATTAGTTAATTAAACTATTAATTAATGAAGAAAATAAGTCTCTCATATAAATATATTTTTAGTTCTGCTTTATTTGGTTCATGCATGTAACTCAAAAAGACACTCCTACATATATTAATATTATCGAACTTGTTATGGCTATGGACACTAATCTCCCTCAGTAGTTACATGGTTGAGTGTATGATTTATCTTGTGTCTCATATTTTTTCTAAATGTCGTAAGTGATTAAGAGAAGATTAATATGGAGTGTGGTCTTGCCTCTTTGACTCCCATGTCTTATAACATTGATTCTTTGACTTTGTTTCAAGGTATAAATGTATATATGTCTAAGTATATAATAATATGTTATGTGAAAAACTAGTGAATTTTTTCATACGTTTTTTTCCTCTCTTTTTTTTGCCCAAAACCGAGAGCGCCTTAGTGCTAATTTTTTTCCTTGTAGTAATGGAGATATAATGGAATTAGTTGGTTTTCCTTTGAAGGCATATTTGGTATATACTTCTAAGGCTTAAGAAAAGAAAACATACAGGTGAATACTAGCATCTTTGGTGGTTGGTTCTTGCTTGGTAAATACATTATAAAGAACTTCTACTTTGGAGCTTAATGACATCTTCAACAAATTTCTTAGTATCAAAAGGAACCAAAGTCTTCAAAGTTTATAAACTATTTCTTTCCTATGGTTGTTTTAATCTTTTTATGCTGTACAAAATGATCATTTGTGGGTAAAATATTTTTAGTGTATTCAATCATAAATTTATTTCCGTTGCTAAACTCGTAGTTTTGACTATTTATTTTAGATTAATGTTGAATAAAATTCAACAATTTGTATCAGAGATATTTTTTGCAAAATTGGTTAGATTATTTGATAATATGTTATCATATTTGTTTTTAGAAAATATAAATGGTTTTTTTTTTGTAAGAAAATTCATACATATTTTCTATGACAATATATAATTGTAATTTTTCGTAACAAAAGTTTACATGCATTTTTTGTCACCAAAAGTTGCCTTGGAGTGATGTTGACTTTATGAGCATGCCGAATGACACATCACATTGAGTGTGAGGTATCAAGCAATGAAGTGATTTACATTCTGGAATGAGAATGCATTGTACTTGTACATGCATCGTCGGATTAGTGAACATAACGACTTGGTCACAATGGTAAGGGTAAGAGTCGTGCCTCACTTGGTGCAATGGACTGATTTGGTCACTTTAGTAGCGAACATGGTAACTCCTTTTGGGTTAGCGATGAGTAGATGCTCATAATAACGATCATAAATGAAATTAGCAAAGAGCAAAGAGAAAATAATAATAATAATAATAATAATAATAATAATAATAATAATAATAGTAATAATAATAAGTAATTACAACGACGAATTCAAGACAATAATTACATCGACGAATAAAGCGATGAAAAATACCTAATAAGGAATGACAACATACTATTTTGCTAACGTTTAGTTTTCGTAAACTTATACGGTTTGATGGATTATTTTGAAATAAACATAATCTTAGTCGTTGTTTTTAAAATGTTGAATAATTAAGACTTCTGTTTTTTTTTCTGTTAAAAGATGTTAAAATAAAAGTAAATTTTTATCGTAAAAATAACTACATTAAGCATGTGATGCTGCAAAGTTGTGCCGATCAAAGTTTATATCCTCATTTGGAGACTAACTTTGAACAAGATTTCCAGCGGAGATAATTTTTTGGCTATGTATATTGATGACCTATGTCCTATGTGCCCGGGTTGTGGTAATCTCGTGGAATCGATCAATCACCTGTTTTTCTCATATGGTTGAAGCTCTAAGTGGACTGATCTTCTTTTTCATTTAAGTGGTAATTTTATAGTCCCGTTTGATTTTGTTGATGCCCTCAATATCTGGAAGTGGAAGAAGAAGGTGGTCAAGTTGATTACGCTCATTTAGTTATTTGATGGTATTGGAATTGTAACAGCCCAAATTCCCAGGTACTAGTCATTCTTATATTTTTGGTATTTTGTGAGGAGACTCGGCAAGTAGGAGCTCAAACTCACCGAGTAAGATCGCGATTTGGACGAGGGTTCGCGTCTGGGCTCGGCGAGTCCACGCTGTTTAATGAAACCCTAATCCTCCGGGTTTGGAGCCTATTTAAGGGCACTTATAGCCTCCCATTGTGGCTACCAGTCCCTTGAGAGAACCCTAAGGGAGCTAATTCGTTTTGGGAGAGAGGAAGTCACTTTTGGGCCTTTGTATTCTTTGTTTAACAAGAGGAAGGTGGCAAGAGCAAGGAGGAGGTGAGATTCCAGC